GCATATTATCTGCATTTTTGTATTTTAATATAAGAGATAATCCACAAGAATCCACATTGCTTTCTGTAGTAATCTTTCATTTGAATGGCTGATACCACTTACATCAATGATCAGGATCAGACTACTGCAGTTGAAACCCTGTATGAAATGGTGCAGTTCCTAATGGTTCTGTCCGCATTCTGAACAGTTTTGAGATATTGAGCTTCAAAGTGTTTGCACTCCATATAGTGAAATGGGATATGGGGAACATCTCTTTCATACATCAGTCCCATATACTTCAAAATTTAATTTCAGGTTTAATTCAATTGTTAATTGTTAGATTTATCAACTTCGGAGTTGATAATTGTCTCTATATACATTTTAGTATAGAAAGTGTAAAAATGGAAAACAGAGAGAGTGAAAGAGCAAAAGGAAAGTGTGATATAGAGAAAGTAATAAAGAAAGAGAATGTGAAACTTGCCTGGTTAAATAAACCAAAAATGAAACAAAGTAAAAAAAAAAAAAAAGCTTCACATAATGTAAATAAGTTGTCACAGAATAAGAATATGTGAATAACTCAATTTTGACAAAAATGGCAGATATAACTTTATAATTCCAAGGAGACGAAATGTCCTGTGAGTTTGTGGGATTGATGGGAGTCTGGCAGTTATGTGTGGGTTAGCAGAAGAGAATTTGCGTATCAGTACTTGAGTATTTGCATATTTACAAGTTAGCAGCAAGGTACAATAATAAACATAGAAACACAACATTACGATGAGCAAAATCATTGAAATGGCAAATTCAGTGCCTGTTTTTTAAAATAAAATTTTATTTGCCAAAGTTTCAATCTAATGACCCATTAAAGTGGTCACATTAAAGTTGACATGCTAAATTTGATCATTCATTTACATATTTGCAACCCTGTGTTATTTCTAGTAATGTAAAGGAATCAGACTGCTGCAGCTGTTCTTGTTATGATGAATTAATGACATTCATTTGCCAGCACCGCCGGTTTAATGTAAATATTATGTTTAAAGAGTTTCTTCACCATATTTGGTTTAGTAATCTAATGACCTCAGCGACAGCCTTATGATAGTTTAAGCAATGTTTACTAACACAAGCAAATCGGTGCTAGTTTAATGCTCCTCGGAGGATGGTAAACATCCTGCTCAGCTGTATTTGTGCATGTTGTGGTGACATTGCTGTTTCGATATTAAGTGTGTAATAAGATTGATGCTCACCTCTGAGTCCTCTTTGTTCAAAGTTGCATCAAAGCTAAAGAGATGATTTGATTTGAAGAAGTGTGTCTGTGCTTAGCATTCTTTATCCGAATCAGCTTCCTCTAATTTGGCACTTCCTGTTTATATTCAACGCTCTACCCATAAACCTCAAGGGAAAAAACAAAGAGTTTATGGGAAAAAAAACAATTTATCACTGCTGTTAAAACTTTTAAGTGTAACCTTGGTAAACATTTAGATACGTGAAAATGTGTAGCTGCTTAATGAATTTGTGAAACTGAAGCTGACGGCATGACATTTATGTGTTAAGAGTGAACAGCAAACCATACTTTAACTTCAGAATTAATTTTGCAGCCTGCCATAATTCAGCCATCTGTTTTTTTTTTTTTCAGGTTTAGAAAAGCCAAGGAAAAGTATCAAATCTATAAATCTATAAATTATTTATTTTCCTACGTATGCCAAGTAGAGTTAATCGGGTAAAAAAAACAACAATCAAACAAAAAAATCATTTTAGAGAACAAACAAAAATCAACTTAGAAAATCAGGGATTTTTTAAAAGTGTGATGATGAGATGATGATGATTAATTATTATTCTGATTTCTTTGTCATGCAATTTCATTTATAAATTGATTTTCTCTACATATGCTAGGTAGAGTGAATCAGATAAAAAAAAGTTTAGGGATTGGCATGGTAATGTACATGACAATGTTAATGTGTTTGGTCTTGGCGGAATAGATCTGCTACGCTGCTGCTGCTGCGGCAGAGCAAGTACCGAGGCTTGCTACTGCCAATACATCCACAACATGCTGCTGTGAGCATGTAAGAAATATTGCTGCTGCACATATAACACATATGAATAACCCCCATATAGCGTACATGAATCACCTCGTAGCAGATCTATACAGGTGGAGCTGGGGAAGGTGGAGGGTTTCTGAAGCAAGCTGCAATTGCTACTGCCAGCACTAATCACATATTTGAATGTTGAGCAGCGAGCTCATTGGCTACCGATACAGGAGAGAACCAATCAGCTGTGCCATGTGATAATGATGTCATTAGGTCAGATTGAGTTAGACCTATCGGACTGCGCCATCTAGAGTTTCATGCCAGAACTCTGTATTTCAACCACACATTCCTAATATTTGAAGGAAGGTTATGCAGCGACTGTGTTCTTCCACAACCAGGCACTGCACAATATTTAGCGATCTTTAACAGCATGTTTATTGCTTGGTTGCTCGATCTGAATCAGTGGGCGGAGCTACAGAATTAGGCGGTGATCTTCTTCTGTGGAGGCGGAGTTTAACCTATCTATTACGTCATAGGTGGCACGTTCCAGGATCTGGCGTTCGCTGGGCCTGCTTTTATTTCAGTAACAACGACGTTTTCAGTTCTGAAACACACAGGACATTCTTTTAGTACGATGATCTCTTATATATCAAAAGCTCAAGTAAAAGTTGATTTCTGAATTCATAACCCCTTTAATGTATAAAATAATTTTTTCTTTAATATATTACATTACATTTTTCTGTAATATATATATGACCCTTGACCACAAAACCAGTCATAAGTAACACGGGTATATTTGTAGCAATAGCCAAAAATACATTGTATGGGTCAAAATTATCGATTTTTCTTTTATGCCAAAAATCATTAGCATATTAAGTAAAGATCATGTTCCATGAAGATATTTTGTAAATTTCCTACCGTAAATATATTAAAACTTAATTTTTGATTAGTAATATGCATTGCTAAGGACTTCATTTGAACAACTTTAAAGATGATTTTCTCAATATTTTGTTTTTTTTACTCCCTCAGATTCCAGATGTTTCAAATAGTTGTATCTCAGCCAAATATTGTCCTATCCTAACAAACCATACATCAATGGAAAGCTTATTTATTCAGCTTTCAGACGTTGTATAAATCTCAATTATCTTATGACTGGTTTTGTGGTCCAAGGTCACATATTATATAGTTAATGAATTAATTAATTCATGTATTTAATATAACAAATCTAATAAGCTAATTGGGTAAAAATGAAATTAATTTCTAAAATTATTGATTTATATAACTGAGAAATATTACGGAAATTTGTTTGGTCACAAAGAGTGTCAACCCTGATAATTGCAACAATACTGGAAACACAATTTGCAGTGATGAAGATCATGGCTGTGTTGTGAAAATCTTACACTTGTCTTTCTCATATAACACAACAGGCTTGATTTGACTGGCGGTTGTCGTAGAGGTTAAAACAGTCCGCTGCAGAGCAGTCGCATCCAAGGAGCGTTTTCTTCTATTATAGATGCTGCTGACTTTCCTCTTGAAATACTTTCCTGAGCAAACATACAGCGCCGGATTCAGGCAGCTGTTTGAGAATGCAAGGTACACAGAAAACTGGCTTCCGATGTTTAGAAAGTGAGACCACTCATTCTGATCCAAAACCTTTAGATCACAGAGTAAGTCTAGCAAAGTCACGAAGTGAAACGGACCCCAGCAGATGAGGAAGAGCAGGGTGACAGCGCACACCAGGACCGTAGCCTTCTTGTCGTTTCTGTCCTCACAATAACCGATGTGTCTCCGTCGCTTCAAAGCCCAGACGATATTGACGCAGCAGAACGTGATGACCAGGAACGGCAGAGCGAAGCCCACCAGGTTCAACTGCAGAAGATGAGCGAGTCTCCAACTTGTGTTGGGATAATCCAGGTGGCATTCGACGGCTCGGTGACCTGGAATATCTTTCAGTTTTCGTATGCAGACTGTCGGAGCTCCCATTCCCACACCGAACAGCCAAAGAACGACACAAATGAATTTGGCGTAGCGTTTCCGACGAAGCCACATGGCCTTCATGGTCAAGGCGAGCGCGAGGTAGCGGTCCACGTTCACCATCACTAGCATGTAGATGCTGGTGTACATGTTGACGTTGATGGAGAGGTTGACCACCTTGCACATGATCTCTCCGTAAGACCACATGAAGTAGTTCAGGATGTTCATGGCCCAAAACGGCAGACAGACTAGTAGGAGGAGGTCAGCCAGCACCAGATTACCAAGATAGATCTCAGGCACGGACCAGCGGCTTCCCTGGAGCAGAAACACTAGCAATACGAAAACATTTCCCACAATTCCTGTCAAGCACACTGTGAAGATGTACGGAGGAATGATGGAGTAGACTAGATCCCACTCTGTTGAGTTGAAAAAATCCAGGTATGCTGGGGTGACGAATGCATTTGGAGGCTGAAGCGTTGCCAATGACACAAGCTCTTCTGGCTGCATCCTAGAAGATAAAAAAAATTGTACTAAAATAATTAAAACTGAAATAAAAGTGAATAAAAAAACAATATAGACTTTAAAAAAAACGAATAAAAATTACAAAAACACAACAAAACTTAAATTTTAAATTACAATGAAAACAGAAAATATAAAAACGAATTAAAATGTTTAATACAAATTACAATAGTATATCAGTGATAAACTTTCTTAATCCATCCTAAATTTGCTGTCTAATTTATTCCAGAGTGACACTAAAAATTATTTAACTTTACAATGTGTGAATGTAATTGCATTAGAAATAAAATATCAAAATGGAAATGTATTAAGTTTATAATAATTTAAATTTGGGAACCGCTGTTTTAGAACTTTCGTTTGTGTAACTATTTCAAGAAAATGTAGCCTACTTCTGCTGATGTACATTTGTTCAGATTTGGGGTCTAATCCAAAAATACTTCAAAAAAAAAAAAAAAAAAGGACTCTTAACTTTATAATGTGTCATTTATTGAAGGGATTTTTTGTCATCCGATCCATTTTGATCTAAAATATTTTCTTGAAGTTCCCCGAGATAAAAATTATTATTTCAATCATTAAACAACACATATGCATGCTCATGATTCCCTGATGTTGGTTAATCGCCCCATGACATACAGATAAACAAATAAAACATGTAATATTTTTTTTATTAAGTTTTATTTTGAATGTTTTTATTTTAAAATTAATTTTGATTTGACTTTTTTTATTTATTTAATCAATTACTAGCTTTTCATCAGCTCATGATTCCCAATTTGGGGAAATTTAACTTGAAATTATTGTTAAAAAAAATGCACAAACAATTTACAAGCAAAACATTTAATAAAAAAAGGTTTGTTTGATTTGAAATGGTAAAGCAATAGATCTAGTTTTGAAAATGAAAACAAAATTCATTGCGTCTATACCTGATCTAATACAATGATGAAATTGTGACTGAAGCATCCAAATACTTCTTGAAGCCCCTTTGAATCATATATCGTATATACTTACCTTACTTTTTCTGTTTTTCTGGTGGACTGATATTCCTGGCTTTCTCCTCACCTCACAATCTTCCTGTTCTTGCAGAAGGAGCGTTCAGTAAGAGACAGAGAACAGCTCAGTCTTTACAGCCTCATTCCTCCAGAGCCATTGAGCGGCTGCTGAGCCTGAATCTGTTTATACTCAGACTTTCTCTTCCCTCCACTGAAGAGAGACAGATGAAGACTTCAGAGTAATGCAAACATAATGTCTGTGGGTCAAAATCTGATGCGCTGCTGGACTTATTTGCTTGTTTCCTTCATAGAAAGAATGTCAACAATTCTGTGTTTTTCTGTCAATATGGGGTGCTGTGTGTACATTAATGAGGAAAAAAAATTAACTTAAATGATTTTAGCAAATGGCTGCAATATAACAAAGAGTGAAAAATTTAAGGGGGTCTGAATACTTTCCGTACCCACTGTATAAATAATACTAATAGTACATTTAATACAAAAAATGACACAAATTGGGCAGTGAAGCAGTGTGACATTTTTGTCTTCTGTATTTATTATACATGCAGTTTTTATGAGCTCATATAACTAGATAAAAATGTTTGTCAAGACAAACTTTGGTATTGGCTTGACAAAGCCTGAAAGTTTTAAGCTGTTTTAAAAGCTTGAAGTTTTACGTTTGAAGGTTTTTTAGTTTGAAGTATTTTGAAGTTTGAAGGTTTTGAAGGCCATACAGTCTATCAGAAAAAAACAAAAACATTGATATTCTGGATGGTTGCAAAAAGATTGCTATGCAGTTGAATAATAGATTATATATTGATAAAACAGATATGGATTGAGAGACAGACAGTCAGAAAGATTATATAATGGCAAAGATAGATAGATAGATAGATGTATTGTAAAAGGTTTCAGCTATATAACATACACTTGTAATGCATCATATCTACCAGCAGAGGGCGATCTGAGTCAACCGCTTCTGCAGACACTGTATGACTGTAACTGTCAGATAAGTTCTGTATTCACAAAAACTTAGTTGTGATGCTCTGGCAGAATAACTAATACTAGTAACATTATCACAACTAGTCTTCACTTGATGTTTTGAGGAGTAATATTTTTTAATATTTAATATGGAATGCATTTATGAAATGTCAGTAGTGATTATTTACCTTGGATGTTAGCCGTGCAGTTCTGTTGACAACATGAGATCAGATTCTGTGCAGAGCTGTTAAACCAGTGTTATTTTAGTACAGTTGAGATACTATTACAGCTTTTATTAATATTTTAGTTTTGTTTTTATTTAACAAACATATTTTATACTTTTTTTATATGTTTTAATTTCTGTTTTAATATTTTAGTCGTTTTGTTTTGTGTTTTTGTCATTTTTAGTAGTTTTTTAATTTTTATTTATTTATTTATTTATTTTTATTCAGTTTTAGTTTTTGTTGATCAAGTTAAACTAAATTAGAAATGTTGCCTTGGCAACTAGCTGAAATAAAAAAGTTGTAACTTTTTTTGTTTGTTTTGTTAAATTAAAAAAATATTTTTGTTTTTATTTGTTTTAAATGTTGCATTTTGTTTAAGGTCACCAATGGGGTGATTACTCTTGGTTATGTTTCTTCAATTCTCTGAATATATTGTATTTTGTATATATATAATAACCAACAGATCTGGATTAAAGACTTAAATCTGAACATAAGTGACCTTGCTTAAGTTTACAGAACCTCACGGCTCATTTCTAAAAGTAGAACTGTACATTTCTGAGAGTAAAAGTCATTTCTAAAAGTGAACTGATAGTTCACTCAACCCCTTACCTAGGGTGACCATACGTGCAGTTTTTCCCGGACACGTCCAGGCCAGGATTTGTATATTGCACCTCAGACAGGTAAAAAATACCGCTGAAAATCAAATCCACGGGGTGAAAGTGTTGCATGCAAATGTTTGAAGCGCTGGCGATGCAGCCAAGAGATGTTATTTTTAAAGAAGGAGGTTTTGTTTTACAGACGGTGATGAATTTATACCACTAATATATGCTTTATTTGAGGGAATGCTGTCAGATTACAGTACAGCCACCCATCCGCAATCATGAAGGTCCCACCACTCTGTGTTACCAACCGCAGTCCTCTAAAAAACATGTCTGGCCATTGAGGGATCGCTGGAAAAACACTATTTAGGAGGTTGTTATTCATAGACACACAAAGAGGAACGAGTGAAGAGTCATTACTGGAAAGTCTGTTCTTTAAAAACCAACTAGTCATTTTCTTACACTGGAAACAAACAGACACAGTCTGCAGAAATCATCGTCTGTCCGTCTCTGTCTAATATTTAACATGCATTACACAGACAAAAAGTGCCATGATATTGCCATGTTTTTTGAACAAGTACCACAGAAGTGTCATTGTATTCTCTGCAATATTTTGTAAGGATAAATATATGTTTACATTTATTTAGCACACACTTTTATCCAAAATGACAAAGAAACATCTGTGCAACCTTGAGTTTTAAGTATAAATGTGATGTTTAATGTAATTGTACTTAATTTGGCAGTTGGCACAGGGATATCGAAGTTAACTCAAATTAAAACCATTTGTGTTACTTAAAATTAAAAATTTAAATAAAAATTAATAAAACCATAAAAAATAATAAATTGGCAAAAGCACAAAACTAAATGACTAAAACTTTAACTTAAAATGAAAATGTAAAATATAAAAATACAAAACTAATTCAAAATATTAATAAAAAATATATAAAATAGTTTCACAGTGATACTAAAATAACACTGATTTGACGGTATTTTATTATTATTCCATTAATATCAGAGATTAATGATTTTTAACATCAACATACAAAAACGTTCTTTTCCAAAAAAACACCACAGACATTTCTGATTTTTGGCATCTCAAAACATAAAATGAAAATGTACATTTTTATTTACAACATTTCAAAATCACATCAAAATGACATATTAAACAAACAAAATAATATTAAACATATTAATTAACATATTAAACATACAAATAAATTATAACTTTAATGTGTAACTATGGACATTTTATACATAATGGCCTTAATATTTTGTGATGGTCTTTAAATTTGATGTAAGATTTACGCAAACAATTTTCACTTGATATTTGCTAGTAAATTTTACAAATAATTATGAAGAAACGTAAAATAACATTGAATTTAATGTGAAATAGAAAGACTGAAATAGCATTTTACAGCATAGCACATCAAACAAACATTATAAATTATCATTTTAATTTGTGCCTATGGACGTTTAATACATAATGTTCTTAATATGTTGTGAAGGTCTTTAAGGTTGAGGAGAGCTGTGATCTTGTAGAACCGCTTGTCGAATCATTTTTTTTCTCCTTAAGCTGCTTCATCAGCTCTTTGACCTTCTTCCTGAAGTTCTTGCCCACGATCACGTAGAGTATCGGGTTCAACACGCTGTTGCTCAAAGCCAAGTAGGTGAATATCTGATTGGAGACGTCCAGACCGGATGCAAAGTCACATCCGCCGAAGACGCCGAAGCGCATCAGGATATCCATGAGGGTCACGAGGTGGAACGGCACCCAACACAAGAGAAACACCATCAGCACCACCAGCACCAGGATGGTGGCTTTCCTTTCAGTGTTTTCCGCATTGAAGCGGTCGATGACCTGCTCGCGCAGAGCTCGGATGATCTTCAGCGTGCAGTAGGAGATCACCAAAAATGGGACGATGAAGCCTAGCAAGATGAGAAGAATGTCGCAAGTGAGGCCAATGTTGGGGTTCGGATAGTTCAGAATACAAGCCGTGATGTTCAGCTCCGGGATGAATTGAGTGTCCCGGAAATGAAGCGTTGGGTAGTTGAGGATTAATCCGAAAAACCAGACGGCAATGCAGTTGAGCTTGGCGTACCGCGGTCGTCTCATTCTACCACGCGACAAAGCGTGGACGAGTGCGACATAGCGGTCGCCGCTAATCAACACTAGTAAGTAAATACTGCAAAGCATGCTCATTTTGATGCCTGTGTTGACTAGTCGGCACATGAGCGAGCCGAATCGCCAGTTAAACCCATCGGCGATGTTGATGGCCCAGAACGGCAAACACGAGACCAACAGGAGGTCAGCAGCCGCCAGATTCCCCAAGTAGATTTCCGCCACCGTACACGCTTTCTTATGCAGGCCGAAGACCAGCAGGACAAAGACGTTTCCCAGGATTCCCAGCACACAGATGATGAACATGTAAGCAGGCTGCATGATGTACAACCAGTCCCACACTTCCCAATGCGGACACTGAGTGTCGTTGGTGAGGTTGTTCCTGGAGACGGCCGTAGGGATTGTGGAAAGGATGGATGATGTTGTTACTTGTATGTCGTTCTCCATGTTTCTGTGGAGAGATGTTCAGTGTCAGTTTTTACTTTTAATCGCTTTAAAGGAAGTCTCTTCTGCTCCCCAAGGCTGCATTTATTTGATCAAAAATACATTAAAAACAGTAATATTGTGAAATATTATTATAATTTAAAATAACTGTTTTCTATTGTATTATATGTTAAAATTTAATTTATTTCTGTGATCAAAGCTGTATTTTCAGCATCATTACTCCAGTTCTAGTGTCACATGATCTTCAGAAATCATTCTAATGTGCTGATTTGCAGCTCGAGAAACATTTCTGATTATTATTAGTGTTGAAAACAGTTGTGCTGCTTCATATTTTTGTGGAAACAGTCATGCATGTTGTTTTTCAGGATTCTTTGATGAATAGAAAGTTCAAAAGAATCTTTTGCAACTTTAAGTGTCGTCACTTTGAATACCTATTAGTAAAAGTATTAATTTTATTTTTTGGTTACCCCCAACTTTTGAATGGTAATGTATCACGGTTTCCACAAAAATATTAGGCAGCATGACTGTTTTCAACATTGATAATAATCAGAAATGTTTCTCGAGCAGCAAATCAGCATATTAGAATGATTTCTGAAGATCATGTGACACTGAAGACTGGAGTAATGATGCTGGAAATACAGCTTTGATCGCAGAAATAAATTACATTTTACTATATATTCACACAGAAAACAATTATTTTAAATGACAGCAATATTTAGCAATTTTACTGTATTTCTGATCAAATAAATGCAACCATGGTGAGTAAGAGACATCTTTCAAAAA